TTCATAAAAAAGAATTTAAAATTATTAAATGAAGATATGAAGTATTAAATGCATCATATATAAAATGACAAATGTAGTTTGAAATTTACTTAATGTATATTTCAAATTTGTGAGTGGAGGGGTATTTTTGGAGTGAATTTTATAAAGGATGTGAAACAAATGTTTAGTTGAGATTGTCATTTAGTTCTAATAAATTTTATCATTAGAGACCTATATCCTAACACTCCTTTATTTTAATTCTATTATGATGATTAGACGAGATTTTAAAATTAACCAAAATTAACTAGTAATTCTTAGAATAGATTTTTTACATTGACCAAAATTAAGGCTGCATATTGAAATATGAATATGGGCTTAAGCCTTAAAAGTAGAATTTGGATGAATGATTCCCAATTAAAGAGCATGTAGTTTTGAATTTTGATGCTTGGGTTGTAAAATAAGTACATATTTATCGTCTGATTAACTCGTCCCAACGGAAGAAAATTAAATTCTATATTAAGGGCATATATTTTTCAAAGGCCTTAACACGGTTTAATTAATTAATGGGTTTTAGGGGGAAAAAAAAAGCAATAATTATCGATTAACTTTTGTAATAAGAAAATTAGTAATAAATGATCATATCTTGATCATTGAGAGAATTTGTGAAAACCCCCACCCCCCAACTTTGTTTACTTATCTATATAAACGATCTAAAAGCAAAAAAATAATACATACAACACAAGGCTTTCTTCTAAGGAAGAGAAAAAAAAAAAAAAAAGACGCAAGGTTTCTTCACCTCTTCAAATCATGGCCCTTTACCTTTTTATTCTCATCATTTTACTCACTACACCCCCGAGCACCAGCACCCCTACAACGGTGCTTACGCTGTACAACATGTGTGACAATGATATTTGGCCAGCGTTCCAAGGCCGACCCGAGGATAGTGTCCCGAGGAACGGCGGGTTCCAGTTGAGCGCCGGACACGCGGTGTACATCAAAATGCCCCCCCAGTGGGCCGGTCGTATCTGGGCCCGCACTGGGTGCATATTTGATCGTAAGGGCAACACCACCGGAAACTGCCTCACGGGAGACTGTGCCGGTGGCAGCCTGGAGTGCGCCGGAAGAGGCGGGCAACCTCCGATGACGTTGGCAGAGTTCACCTTCGGAGTCGGGCCCATGGATATATACGGCATCAGTATCGTAGACGGCTTCAACATCCCGATGGTAATTTGGCCAGGTGGGGTGGCATTTGAACACCCAGTCAAGGGAAATTGTTCCGTCCCTGACTGCGCCGACGTGAACAAGCGTTGCCCCGAAGAATTGCAGATAAAAGGAAGCCAGGGAGAGATAGTGGCCTGCAGAAGTGCCTGCAACGCTTTCCATACGGATGAATACTGTTGCGTAGGTGCATACAGCAGCCCCGGAGCATGCAAGCCCACCAACTACTCAAGAATTTTCAAAGACGCATGCCCGGACGCCCGTTCATATGCATTTGACGATGCATCTCACACTGACTGCCAAAGAGGAGTTAGCTACACTGTTCGGTTTTGCTGAACATATCCAGCTTTCTCTGCTTTTTTCTTTTTCTGTGTTTTGGGATTGATAATAATAATAAGTAAAATAGTGAAAATGCAAGTAAAAGTGTAAAACAAATTTCTTATTTGGTTAAATGGTAAAATGATAAGTAAAGTAATTTGAGGAAAAAGTTGAAAACATTTGTACTAAAATTGAGTAAATCCGTTTATAATACGTTAGTGAATGATGTAGTGATATCTTGACTTTCTCATTTATCTTGACGTTAGTGATCTTTTATTATTTCACCTTTCTAGACTATTTTGCACCAAAATTTAATGTGTGTGTTTCTCTCTTTATATATATATATATATTTGAATTTTTAAACAATCAAAAAGAAGAAAAAAAAGTTAATCATCGAATTCCAATTTTAGCCCAATTCAAACATAATTTAAAACTCATAATTGGCCACCGAGGAATATAGGGCAAGAGATATTGGTGCCACAGTTTTCTTTTTTCGGCATGTTCTACGATGTCTCCATGCAACTCGTGTTTTTCTTTCCTCGTCTTTGGTGCCCTCTGAACTCGCCATCTTCCGTGCCCCGTCGCTGTATCGCCGTGCTTGCTTTGCTCGCTGGAGTTTGCGTGCTCCGTATTTTTAGGTGTTTGCCTTTTGTGCAAGCATCGGCGCTAGATCTTAAGGTGGTGTGTTTTAGTATTGAATGACCATCTCAACCAATAGTTTCATCTATTATTGAAATATGCAATTTAATATTAATATGTCTAATACGCCCCTTAAGTGGCTTATATTTTTCGCGAGTCTAAGTTTTATATATTTTTCACGAGTCAAGTCTCGAGTTTAGGAAAACCCGCCCCAGAACTAACCCATTGCCATAAATAGAGAGAAGAGATCTGTGTTAGACAAAATTGGTGAGAACAAGATAAAGAAGAAGAGAAGAGAGAAAGAAAGGAAGTTGAGACAGGGCCAAATTGGTGGGCAAATATGTAAATACACATTATAACGAACGGTGCAAGTGATTTCAATGTTGACCATCGGTCCTTTTAGTGCGTATGGTAGTCCATATGGGGTATTGGTACAAATCCCTAATTCAGGAGTGTAAACCGAACTTACCTCATCTATTAGTGGCTACAACTAAATATTTTGAAGGAATAAAATACCCATTAAAGTTTGAAAAAGATGAAAACAAAACAAAGCAAACAAATG